CTTTTATTCATCAAAGATGCATTAAATTGATCAAAAGTGACAGTTAAGACATTCTCAGAGATTCGATTTCAAATAAATGCTGTTCTTTTGAAATTTCTATTCATCTGTGAATCCTGAAAAATAAAATGTATCACGGTTGCCACAAAAATATCGTGAAGCACAACTGTTTTCAACATTGATAATAATCAGAAATGTTTCTTGAGCAGCAAATCAGCATATTAGAATGATTTCTGAAGGATCATGTAATGTAATCATGTATGTGTTTGAGGTGTCAGACGGGTTAGTTGGTGGAGGTTGAGTCTCACCTGGTACACATTTGGCACACGGCGAGCCCCAGCCCGCCCCCAGCGTAGCACAGCAGTGAGACTTCAGCGTCGCTCCGTTAATGTTAACCTCACACGGTCCATTCACCATCTTCAGCCAACACGTGCCCTTAGTGGTCTCTGACACACACACACACACGCACACACACATGCATGAGGCTTTAACACACACGTGTGATGAGTGTGACAGGAAGTGCACTCACCCACACACAGAGTTCCTGAGCTGTCCAGAATGCTTCCCGCGGAGCAGAGACACGCGAACGACCCGGCGCTGTTCTTACAATCGCCGTTCACACACGGGTTACTCAAGCACTCGTCCACGTCTGAACACACAGACACACACACAAACACACACACACACACACACACAAACACACACACACACACACACAAACACACACACACGCGCACAAACACACACAGACACACACACAAACACACACACACGGAGAACGTAAGATGTGATTACAGCATGTAAACGCTCACAAAAGATTTTTATAAAACTCAAAATGATTCATAAAAGAAATAAAACAGCAAAAATCTACTACAGAATCAATGCTTGTTTTCACTAAATGAACAGCAGAACGAATCACACTGAATCATTTCCAATTATATGAACGAACAGAATAATATAGTTCTATTTGTTCTATTTGTCACTACAACATTTTGACCATTAAAAAAGATTTGAAAAATGGAGATTCACTGAATCAAATTTTATGAGTTTAAACTGATTCACTGAAATGAAGCAAACTTACCAACTCTATTCTAAATGTGAGATTTAACTGAATCATCTCTATCTGAACAATCTCACACAAGACGATGAAGAATCATGAAATAGTCTAATGACTAAAGTCTTTTTCTCACTAAATGAACACCTGAACCAGGGTTATTATGGTTAACTAAAAATAAACTAAAATTAAAAGCATTAAAAAAGCTGAAATAAAATAAAATGTTAAAACCTTTTTTTATTTTAGCTGGTTGATAACTTTTACTTATTAATTAACTGAAATAATAAACTATAAAAATTTATACAATTATACAAATTAATAAGAACTCTACTAAAACTAATAAAAATGACAAAAACACACAATAAAATTATTTTAAAAAATGTAAAATAAAAATTTAAACAGAAAATATAAAAATTAAAACTGATCCAAAATATTAATAAAAACTATAATAGTATATCATTGTATCTGACCAGAGCACATCAGATTTAATTATTTTCATTAATATACACCAAAAGAATAATATACACAGTGATGAAAAAAAACACCATCATATATTTTTACTAAAACATTTTGTACTTGAAATATTCCTCAAGAACATTTACAAGTTAGGGTACAAACAAATAACTGAATCAAGTTATTCAAGTTAACAGAACTGAATCAAACTGACCAACTCATGCTCTGTTTTCAGGTGAAATGAGACACTATTATTATATTATATATTATATTCATGAATGTGACCCTG